GGGAAGCCTGCTTCTCCCTCTCCCACTCCCCCTGCTTGTGTTCCCTCTCTCGCTGTGTCTCTCTCTGTCAAATAAATAAATAAAATCTTTAAAGTAGCATTATTTTTGTCCGAGGAGATGGGGAAAAAATAATAAAATAGCATTATTTTTAAAATATACCTTAGTGGGTCATTGAATTAGCTACGTGTTAACTAAAATCACTATGATTTTGAATTTTAACTTTTCCAGTATATTCCAATATTCTTGGTTTAAAAGTTTAGCAAATATAATGTGACTTTTAATTTGCTAAGCAAGATCCTAGCCCGCAAGTGTTAATTTTTATCTGAGAGAAAACACACTAATAATATTAAAATTATACGTATTTGTACATGAATATGTTTCACGTTATTCTGTTAAGTGAACTGTGTAGATTCTAGTGTCACTACTTATCTTTGTAAATCAAGTTATTACAATTTGAAACTGAGCTGCTACCTCTCAGTCAGTGTACTTAATGTTAGCTAATTAATAATCACCAAACTTTGACTTCTTAAGGCCTCCTATAAAACCACAGGGCCCTACCTAGTTTGTCTGATCTAATTGCTGCCGTTTCGAAGCTTCTTGTTTTTCCGGTACTGTAATATTAGGTAAGATCAATTTTGGAGAGGGGAGCATTGGTGGCTCAGTCGGTTAAGCGTCTGCCTTTGGCTCAGGTCATGATCCCAGGGTCCTGGGATTGAGTCCCGCATCAGGCTCCCTGCTCAAGCGAGGAGTCTGCTTCTCCCTCTCCCTCTGCCCCTCCCCCCCAACTCATGTTCTCACTCACTCTGCTCTCTCTCTCTCTCAAATAAATAAAAATTAAAAATCTTTAATTTTTTTATTAATTAATTTTGGAGATAAATGTAACTTATTAATAAATATCCAGCAATGTGAATGGCAGTAGATGCCAGTGCCCTCCTCTCTAGAACCTTAAACCTAGTGCATAAATCCTAGTCCCATACCTGATCTCTCTTTGCCCTATAAAATAAGAGGTTAGATTTCCTGGGAAATAATATAGAAGTTTTAATTGGCCTATCAAGGTTGGTTGGTTTTTTTTTTTTAATCTCAAAAATATGGGTTGAGGTACGTTTTTAACCTATAGTACTATCTATAGGTAGATAGGCAGGGGCATCTGGATGGCTCAGTGGGTTGAGCATCTGCTTCCGGCTCAGGTCATGGTCCCAGGGTCCTGGGATCAAGCTCTGTATCGCATTGGGCTGCCTGCTCAGTGGGAGGCCTGCTTCTCCCTCTCCCACTCCCCCTGCTTGTGTTCCCTCTCTCGCTGTCTCTCTCTGTGTCAAATAAATAAATAAAATCTTTAAAAAAAAAA